GACTGGAAAGAATCAGGGGGTAATTTTTGTTTGTAATTTGATCTTCTGCAAGATATATGAGGTTAAGTTATGCTTTATAGAAGGCGTAAATTTTCTTGAAACATTATATTATCGTGGTATTTATCCTGCAATTGTTATGTAGCGAAAAGATTAGAATTATAGTGATGAAATGTGTGATGGGTCATAAACGGAGATAAAGTAGTATGGGGTAAGGGGAATCCAAAAAGTCCATTTAGAAAGTTTCCGGAATGATATATAAATTTAAATTAATATAATTATAAAGCGCTATCTATGACAAAACATAATTGAGGATGGAGGAAAAATGGCAGAGCTTTAGTGAAATTACCCTGCATGGAAACTAGTTGGAAGTAACAAATTTGCTTTCATGAGTAATCCACGCCTATTACACCTAACTGAGTTTTTATTTGATGATTAAATGATGATTCGATGGTTTTTTATTAATACTGCAATCGTTGAAGTATTTTATTTCCAGTTCACTGGATCAATGCTTTGTCGTTGAAATGCAGCGCACTATGACAGGTAATATCGTGAAATTGTTCTTTTTTTTTTTTTTATCCATTAGATATTTTTCAATTGTAGAAATGTGTAATGGTTTGATTATCGATTTATCAGTCATGTTCATCTGTATCGCTCAAAGATACGAAATACTGATTCATCTCAACTGTTATGTCCTATCGATTGGAAATTTTTTGAAATGTGAAAGCGAACGTTAATTCGTTTTGATGAAATTGGTTGACTGATTGAAAGAGAGAAAGGAAGTATGAATATGATACATAACAGGAATAGCTCAGAAGGTTTGCTTCAAAAAGAAATCATCATAAACATTGCATGCATATTGTATAATTATATAGATATAGAAAAGACAAACTCAACATCAAATCATATTTTTTCATTAATGACGTATTGATGACAGAGAGTAGAAGAATTAAAATGTATAAGACACACATAGAGAAAACGTTATGAACTTTGTTGTCATTTTTAAAACAGCACGCGATATTTTACAGGTAGTGGCAATAGTGATGGTTTGTTGTTAATGTATTGGTGTTCCTGATTGCATTGATAATGCATTGATTTTTTAAATCTTTTTATCATTTTTAATATAAAAATTTTAAATTAATTTATTTGAGATTTGTTTTTTTTTTTTTCTTTTTTTAATTTCTTTTTTATCAGAGAATTCTTTTAATAGTACTTCCGGTCATATATTATCATTAGTATATATATATATGATCAAATAATCACAAGTATCGCTATATATATATATTTTTACCATGAATATTCATTATTCTCTTATTTATTTTGATTCACTATTATAGTTGTAAAATTTGCTGAAATATAAATAGATCTCAAAAAATTTTAATTTTTTTTTTTTCATACAGTCGTTTTTAGAAATGGAATTAGATGGAGCTTTCAAATATCACTAATTCATGTCCTTGAATTTGTCATTGATTCTGATACTCTTTCCTTTATTTTATTCCCGTTGAAATTTGCCGAAAATTCTTGTTATCAAAGGATTTTCTAATTTTTCATTCCTTCCATTCTTTGATTCTCTAATCCTTTTTTTTTTTTTTTCTGTCTTTTTTTTTTTCATTTGAAACTCCCTGGAAGTGGACGCATGGATTTTTATTGTTATAGAATGTTATAATGAGTTGATTAAAAGATGTCAAAAGCTGCATGATATGCTTGATTCTTTCGTGAGATTTATTTTTTCCAGCTTTGAGTCCTTCTCATCATGATGATTATTTTTGATACACTTCGATTTCCAAAAATTTTTTAGTAGCTCATTTTAAATTTTACTTCTCTATCTTTTATTCGTTCTATTTTTAAAATTTCTTAAGACAAAGAAAAAAATAAATGTCATAACGTTTATTTTTCATCTTATTTTTAGCTAAAATAAATTAAGAAAGAAGAAAATGCATGATTGAAAGCTGAAGTATCGCAGTATGTTTAAATTTTCTTATTCAAATTTTTGTCATTTAATTGGTACAACATGTATAATAGGTATAATCAATCTTCGATTGGTACTTCAGCTGGATTAGAACTCCTTCCACACATATATTCATGGAAGCTTTCGAAAGGAATTGGTTGGTTTACGATTGGAATGGATATTTTTTACATTTTTTTTTAGTGCTTAATTTTTTAAGCAGTTTCCCATATTACAGGATATGTAAATTTGCTAAAATTTTATTTCAAATTAGCCATAATTCATTTATTTGTCGCCAAATCTATTAACTGAGGATATAATGGGTTAGATCTGATTTTTAGGAAACAGATGTTTCGAGAATAAAAGGATATGAAATAGGCAATTTCTTTTTTCTCTGTATTGCAAAGCTATTGACATACATAAATTTGAGAGATTTACTTTCATCATAGGAATGTTCTATGAAATTTTGTTATGTTTTACTAGAACTGTCAAACTGATAATATTCTGGTGATAAATTTCGTGTTCCTGATAACGAATTGAGCTGGGTGATTGAAATGCACAAATATTTCTAGAATTATTTGAATAATAATTGTAGATAGTAGCATTCCAGGAGTTGAGCTAGCATTTGGTGTTAATTTGTATTACTTTTGTGCTTTTAATGCTTTTTACTAAAGCAGCTAAATTCACTGTTTTACGTAATAGTTATAGTGCATTATCTTTTAGATTATTTAAAAGGATGTTTCTGTTTTGCTGCTTTATATTTCGATAACGAATATGCATTTTTGAGTTAAAAATTCTCCATTATTAATTTTGATGATGACTTGCCGCATTTTTTTTTCTTGTTGAAATTAAATGTTGGTAATGTTTAGTTGACTTTTTATATATTGTAAGTTTATTTTCTAGGTTGAAGATTAAAGATAATTTATAAAGGATTTTACTGACATTACTTTTATTTTAAAAAAGAAGGTAAGAATATGTGTTCATTTTTAGAAGTTAAAGTATGGACAGATATGTTTTTTCTGCCAGCGTAGTCATTTTGGCATTTTTTTACATACCATACAAAAAAGCTTGCAAACGAACAACGGGAAGAAATAAAAAGGTTTTGATTTTATTTTTGCGTTTACTGTAAACTGTATGAGTTGGTTTCGTCCCGGATTCGGCGAATATAGCTGAATAATCAGTTGCTATTTTTTGAATTTAAAATTTTAGACTTTTTAAGTTTTAAAATTTTATCCGTTTTGTTCTTCATTTTTCTAAACCTTAATAGATAAATGCATATATGGTGATGCTAACCTTAACTGGATATCTTTCACAAAAGAGTGGAGGGTTTAACTAATATTTATAAGGGTCTGTTAAAGGATAACTAAAAAAGTGGATTAATTTTATCTCAGGAAACGCCTGCAAATTGATCAGAAAGTCAAATTGTTCGTTGTTCACGTAGTTTAATTGCTTTTTTTTTTCCTTGTAGAATTTTATAGGGTTATAAGCATAGCATGCTATTATGCAATTTTAGTTTATTATAGAAAGTTTAGACTCGATTTAGATTAATCAATGCTTTTAATTTAGCTATCAAATCATAGCTATCATCATTTTAACTAAAGACTCGATTAAGATAAATGGGCAGATGGATTGAATGGGTTAATGCTTGCTAGTTGTTTCTTTCGTATAATTTTGCTATGCATTGAATGTATAGGCAGTTTTGCTAATATGAATGGGCTGTCATTATAATTTATTGATTTATAAGATGTAATTCTCTATGAAGTAAAAAGTCGCTCTATTTAAATCTTTTATATAGGAATTTACGAAGATGATCCATCTTGTTGTCCTGTAATCTTTCTGTTTATTCGAATTTTAATAACTAGTTTTCAGAGATTTCCATGATTAATTCATGATTTTGTGCTAAGAAATGTTTGCATTTAAGATTGTAGAAAGGGTAAAGCATTGTAGAAATGAGCGAATCATATTATATTTTTGGTTCTAGTTCGAGACAATTTAGAATTTGGCTATCCTGAATATTTGTGCTGACAAACATGACTTATAAAAATGCATTTGGAGGAAAATAAAAGAGTAACAGCAAAAGAAAAAAATGATTCATTTTATTTACTGCATTAATTACTTTGTTCGTCTTGTCTAGGAGTAATTCGTGATTTCGAGATTTGTGTAACTGGATACAAACATTGGTTAAAACAACATAATATTTAGATAATTGTTGATTCTTCATTCACCCTTGATCTCCTAAAAAACACTAAATTAAAATTATAATATGTAGCAGTTAAGCAAGAATGAGTCATTACTAGTAGGTAAAGATTTGAGACTTTCCCATGCGTAAAATTTAGAGAAATATGTATATTACCAAATTATGTTGGCATGCCTCTGTAATATTATCTCCATGTCGTATCGTTATATTTTAAAACTGCGTTTTAAATTCCAAAATGAATTTAGCTTTTTTTGCAGAGAACATCAGCACTGGCAAATATTGTGCAACGATTCGGTAGCCGAGTTCGTGAAGCCTTGGCGACGGCCTCCGAGGCTATTTCAAATGCCGTTGTCGACAATGATCCTATCACGGTCTGCATTTTATTCATTTTTTTGTTTTTTTTTTTTTTTTTTACACGAGAAAACTGCATCTGATCGCGTTATTTAATTATCCTTTTATCATTCTAACTTATCATCCCTTTATCATGCTTTGATGTGTGAATAAATAAGGTTCCGAAAACTTAAATTGAACTTTAGAAAAAAATAGAAATTTTTTCCATTCTAATTTGGTTGAGAGATTATCAAAGAAAAATTTTAAACTGCAAAACTCTTGTTTAAAATGTATCCTTTTTGACCCTTCACTGTTTTTTCTTTTTTTTTTTATTTCTATTTTCAAGTACAAATTCATTTTGGTGTATTATATAGAATTCTTAGGAAATTTTTATATCGCTTCATACCTCCTCCTTCTGACCCCTATTTACTACTTATATCCCTCCCAGCTCAAGATAAGAAATTCTTACTTTTTAGTAATATGTTAGTATAATACAGTAAGTTCAATGTTGTTCAGACACCTGTGGAATCTATGTCTCGTTTTATCAAGGATATGAATGAGAAGGGTATGGCAGGTTTGGCCTCGGAATATCGTAAAATTGATGTGGAAGATACACCATTCGGCTCTCACAAATCGTTTTTAATGAATATGGCTAAAAATCGTTATTCTGTTAAGTTTTTTTCCATGAACACCAAGTTTTATTAAGTTTTTTACATTTATAAGAATTTTTTTCGGTTTCTTGTCCAACATCTTTTGTTTTTTTTTTCTTTTTTTTTACAAGTAAAGCTTATAAGAATAGTTTTTTTTTCTTTTTTTTTTTCTTTTTTTTTTTTTTTTTTCATTTGTTTTTCCAGTCGAAACTAGAATAATAGTAGTGTTAGATGTTTGTTGGAGATTTTTTGTCGCAAGTTTAATCTTTAAAACTTGTACTGTGAAATAGATAATTATAGATGTTCTGTGTGTTGATGAGACGCGAGTAGTTTTGAAAATTGGACCAGCCGCAAGTGGCGATTATATTCATGCAAATTATGTGCTGTTTTCCGAATTCCAAAACAAATTTATCTGTACTCAGGTCTTTTTTTCAGCTTCTACATTATTGCTTAAAAGTATATTATAGCACTTAAGAATAACGGATGATTAATTGTTTTACTACGTTATTTTCATCATTACCATCCAAAATGAAAATATTTTAGGGTCCTTTACAAACAACTAGAGATGATTTCTGGAGGATGGTATTTCAAGAACGCGCTGAAACAATTCTGATGCTTTGCAGGTTTATTATTTGCTATTTACAGTGTTAATGATAGTGATAAAATTGATATATGTGATTGTGTGTTAGCTGCAGAACTGTAGATGAAATAGTGGAAACTACTACACTGTTCCTTGTACATTGACATGGATGTATGTATAATGGACACGGTGTAGTTCAATAAATTCATATTAATTGTTATTAAATTGTAAGTAGTTCTTGTTTCTTTTTTAATATTCATTTACTACTTATCTTGTTTGAATGTTATGCGATAACAGTTTTTGGATTTCATCATTTTTTATAATTTCTTATAAGTTTTTAACAAATTTTATTTCTTTTAGACCGTCCGAAGATGGCAAACCTAAATGTGCTGTATATTGGCCAGAAAACGATGATAAATTGGAACTTAGCACAGTAGATGTTGAGAAAGTTGGTGAAGAAAATTCAGATTTCGAGACTCTACTTTTTAAAGTACAGCTCAGAGATGAATTCAAACAATCGCCGTTTATAAGCAATAAGGATCCACTGGTAGTAAAACAGTATCGATGGAGCACGTAATTAATTTCTCTCATCATTTCGAATACCGAGTTTTATATGTTAAATGTGCAGTATTAATTGAAAAATAGAAAAAAGTATGAGTGCTAACTTGTCAACATAGCTGATGTTACACTTTTGTTTTTGAAATTATTCCACTTTTTATCTATTTAATGTTATGTCAGATGGCCTGATCGTGGAATTCCAAGCCATGAGAATGCGATGATCCCTTTGAAATTGTTATCATTAGTAAGGAATACTCGAGCACCGTGTGTTGTGCATTGTTCTGCCGGAATTGGACGAACTGGTACCGTTGTGGCTATTGAACTTGGCATCAGACGGTTCCACGATGGCCGCAAAGTTGATCTGGCAATGGTAAACTGTTTTTGGTTTTTCTATTATGATTTAAAAATTAATGTCAATTATTGAGATAAAATGTGTTTAAAATTACAGAAATTTCAAGAATTTATGAAATTATTTAATTTGAGTGAAGTTAACAAAGAAAAATTTTTTCAGCTTGTAAAAGATCTCAGAAAGAAACGGGCGCAATGTATACAAACCGAAATTCAGTATTTGTATTTAAGTCGTGTGCTAACCGAATATGCTTTGAGCTCCGGTGAACCACTATCTGATGATGTGCGTCGTGCAGCGGAATCATTTCTCAAAGAATATGATTCGAAAATTAAGAAGTAATTCTATTTAACATTTTGTGTTTGAAATTTATAGTGATGTAGGATAAAAGAAAACAGATGAACTTGTTTTGCATATTTTCTGACATAAGAAAAATATAATTTTTCAGAAAAATTTTCTCTTGAATATAAGTTTTGATTGATGATACTTCATACAGTTATAGCTTATACTAGCTTTGGCTGTTATTGTCGTAACTTTATCTGTTATTCATCAGTCTGTTATTGGTTGTACTGAAGCTAGAATTGACAGACAATCAGAAACTACGATTTTTGTATTGATTTGAAGTGGAAGAAAATATTACTCAGGCTATAAAAAAATACCAAATGCTTTAAGTTAAAGTTTCAAGTTATAAAGTAAATATGTTTGTTCGCTCGTTTTAACAACCCTTTATATACTCCATAATGTTTGTGTGTAAAGTTGTTGTTTTCATTTTTTTTTTTTTTTAACTAAATTTATATGTCACAAATAAAGCTTGTGAATCCGCACTTCCGTAATAAAGTAATAACACTGAAATCTTCAGGAAAATCATATACTATTTCACTGCATTAAATTTTAAGTGAGAATTAATCGTGATGTTCCATCATGAATCCGTAATACTAAATAAAAAGTTTTATTTTCCTGGCACAGATTCTGAAGTTTTATTAGATTACATTTTTAAATTAAATGATAAAATGCTATAATTTATTCAATACAAAAATGACAATGCACAAATGAGACAAGGAATAGTGAAATGAACATGATAGTCGAAAATTCCTTTCCAAAAATTTAATTTGAATTTAATTTAATGATTTAGATCTTTTCACTGATATCAAGACATATTTGATGCTTTCAGCTTTTAAACAAATAAGTTCAACTAAGGAATATGTGATATGACTTCTCGGATTTTTCTAAATTTTTTTTTTAAAAAAAAAGTTTTTCATACCTTGCAACCTTTGAACCCGTATATAGCAACGATTGCAATCTAATGTGACAAAGTCAATTTCAAGAAGTATTATGTTATTGCACTACACTCATTTTTATAAGAAGAAGATATGTTTTGCCATAGTAAAATCAATAAATTCAATGAGCTATAATTGGTTGTTTTGTCACTTAAGTGTACAACACTGAATCTTAGAGTAAATAGATAAAACTCAATATAATAAAATTTAAAGTATTATTATAAAATAAAAAAATTTTATTTTGCTTTTTATTTTGTGATAATTTCATAAATTATTTTCTTATTGCACTATAAAAACTTAAGCGTTATTAGTTTTTGCAAATAAAATAATAAACAGAAATTGGATGGGTGAAAGTATATTAGAACTAGCAGATAAATAAATGAATTGATAAAATTGATTGTAATTGCTGTAATCATTATTTCCCTTCATACTTTTATTTTCGGTAGATGAGAAAGGAATTATATGATTGATGAATAAAATTGAAAATTTTTAAACTGTGGTGAACATATGATTTAGTGATGGTAGGGAATGGGATGGGTCGCTGTCGAGACTTTGATCTGATTGACTGCTTAAATTTGATTGACTACGAAAATTGTGCCAGTTGCGCCGTAGTTGTCGAGTCTGAAGAAAAAAAAAAAAAGCATTTGATATTTTAAATAATTTATGTAGCAATTTCTAATAGAATAAAATAGCATTGAATTGGAATGAATAACACAATGAATAATTTAAAATGTCACATTTAACAATATTTCACTCATTGAATCTATAACATTTGATTCTTTTTTTTTCATTGCTATAAATTATTTTTATAATAAATTAAAAAGTTTTTTTCATTGTTATTTTTTGTAATGAAATAAAATTTTGATAAATAACTTCACAAATATGCAATAGATACCAAAAAAAAAAAAAGTTATTCTGTCATTCTGCTAAGTGTTCTTTTTTTTTTTTTTTTTCTCATCAAAAAACATTGCAGAAAATTTTTATTATCAATTAATCAATATATTTCAATTGAAATTTTAAAAAAAATTTAACACAAACCTCCATATAATAGCCGTCACGTACGTTTGTAAACATTAATTCAACTAACGTAGCCCAAGCTTCAATTGTTTCGGTAGGCTAAGAAAATATGATTATTAGAATACAAATTTGTTTCGTTTAAAATTTTAAAAATTATAGCTTATATCATAAACGCACTAATATTATTATAACGATTGATTTAAAGATTGTTTGTAAATATATTTTTCTACCTGAATGAGTAGCAACATCCGGAAAAATCTACCTGATGAGCAGCACCATCCAGAAAAACACATTCGGTTGTAAGCGCATCAGCTAAAACAGAAAAGAAATCTGCTTTAAAGCCCCAACTACGTTTATGAGCTTGCTCAATACCATATTTACTCGATATTTGTCTAATCTGAAATGTAAATTAATGAAATGTTTGAAATGTGATATTAATGCATAAAGAATTTACTTAATATATTAAAACTATTCTGGAAAATCTTTTTCAAAAATTTTTCATATGAAAAATATTTATTTTATCTATTTTTTTCTAATTTTCAAATTTTTATGTCTGACTAGGAATAGAAATTGATTTAATATTATTTAGAAATTAATGCAATATTATCTAAAAATTGATGTTACCTTTTCTGAATTTGTTATATTTTGTACCACATCAGTAAGAAATTTTTTTAATGCCATAACTAATTCAGTTGATTGCTCATTGCTTAAATTTCCATAAAATTGCGCAAAATCATCACGTTTGTGCGCCATTCGTTGAACAATTCTTAATGCTATATCTGATCGTGCATTTTCCATACAAAATAATATGATTGACTGGAAGAAAAATAAAAAAGAAAAAACGAAAGTAATATATTCATTAAACTGAATTATAAATATACAATAAATTTAATTATCAAAATTGAATTTTAATTTGTATTAAATATGAAATTTAATTTGAAATGCAATTTAAAAGTTTGAGAATTTCAAATATTGGATATTATGAATTGCTAATTTCAATCTATTGGAAATTTCTTGGAAATACTATCAAAATAATTAAACACTCTCTCTATTCATTTTTAGTTAGTTAATCCTTTTGTCTCATTTTAAACTTAAATCGTTCACCACAATTGGAATACTACAGTTCACTTCTGAACTAAATACTTACTCTTAACAGAACAATTAAATTGACACTTATAAATTGAGATATTTAATGCTTTATAAAAATATTTTAACTGTGAAGTATACGCTGTAAAAGTAATTTAGAAGTTATCAATTATAATTTTAAAATTTACCTGTGAATTTGATGATAATGACGGTGACTTAGTTGTTGAAGCAATTGAAGGACGTCGCATTGTTGGTGTGGAACGGTCACTTTTTTTGCTACTACTACTACTGGCTGCTGCTTGTGGTGATTTAAAAATATCAGTTGAATGTGGCCTTCGAATGATCTGCTTAGAAATGTAAATTTTAAAACAGTAAAACTTATTATTGTTAGAACTGAGGATTCAATAGCCAAAACAAAAATTTAGTATTTTTTGAGGAAAAAAAATCAATTGAAATACTGATAAATTGTTAAATTTAGCATCATTATTAACATTAAATTCACAAATTTTATTTCGATTTCATTTTATAAGTTTATCATTGATTACATATAAAATTAATGAAAAAATCAAGGACATATTTAACTAATAGTTATTGTATTTAACTAGCTTTTAGTTGTGATATTTGAATTTAGTAAGCAAATTTCAAGATTTTTAAATAAAATTTACATTTTTATTTAATCTTCTGTTTAAAATTGAAATCTTCTCTTTCTTTGTTTTTTTTTTTTTTTTTTTTTTGGATTAAAAGTTTCATTTCCAAATGAATTTTTTTGTTTGTTTGTTTGTTTGTTTTTTTTTTTTGTCAGTGACTACTTTAGTTTGTTATGTCTATTTCAGTCAAAATTTTTAAAAGTTAGATTTTGCTTTATTTTCATTATTTCATATTATTTATACCAAAAAGAATATTTTAATATTAGAATGAAAAAAAAAAAAAACGAGAAAAAATTTACTTTCTTGTTATTCTGAATGTTTGTTTTACATTGAAATGATGAATTTCCTGTTGCTATCGAATGATCCTTACTTTTCTGCAATAAAATATTATTAGATTAAAAATAATTATTAGATTAAAAATTTTACCATCCATATGGGAATAAATTATTATATCATTTGAATGCCATTTATTATTTACATTAATTATTATAGAATGGAACAGAATATAAAACAAACTTTTTGATCATAAAATATATCTGATTTGATTGAATTCATTTTTTGTACAGTCTTCTGCAATGCTGTCACCGATCGAGGTTTTGTCAATGAAGCATGCGAGAATGTTTGGATGGAATTAGTTGACAGGTAGCTTGAATCGAACGACATAGAGATGTGTCGTCTAAAAGCATAAATGGATCATTTCAAAATTTTAATTGCTATTATGTAAAATATTGTACCTGAATTGAATTTAAAATTATCTGTTAGTAAATAATAGTCATTTTAGTTTGTTTACTTCTCGAAAAATATACTTTAATCCTTTTCAAATATGCTAATAGCTAATGAATCATTCTCATTTTAGAAATTGAATATTATTTCATTAATTGAAATAATTTAATTTACCTTAGTGATCCGTCATCTGATCTTCGACTTGAATTCTGTAAAAAAAAAACCATTTTTAAGTAGTAATTTGTGCTAATTCAGTTATATTTAGCAAGCAAATATGACTTTATTATGCAAATAATTCTCTTAATTACCATTTTTCAATGTTGTAACAAAAATAATGAAAATTAAAAACTGAAAAGTGTTATAATTTTATGTGAATAATAAAATTTGATGTTTTAAAGAAATTTCAAAAAAAATTTTATTTTATTTTTTTCTTAAACTATAATGAATGTGAAAGATTTTTTTCTTGTAAGTATTGCAAATTTTTCATATTTAATCGTTGTAAATGTAGAATTCTGGAAGTGATTAAATTTAAATTAAATTTTATTCCTCACGAATTAAAATTTTTATTTTACAAAATTTTAAAAGTTTTCAA